TGAGCAGCAAAAACACGTTTTTAGACCAAATATTACAGATTTGGACAAATACACACAAAAACATTAMAATTAGCACAGAAACAGTACTATATAACATTTTAGACACATTCTAGACAGTTCATCAGCTAAAAAAAGTTAATTTTGGGGTAAGTTACTCTTTAAACTCCACCGGGGTAACCAAAAAAACATTGTGCTACAGTTCTTGTAACAGTGACCCAGGAAACAGCCATCGTCCCCATTTGGAAAGACTATTTTTGTCACTTTTCCCCAAACTACGATGCTAGCTAACAGCTGGATTCGAGCGATGAGACTGGTTTGACTGGAAAAAAAAGTGCAACCATGGTCTTGAGATTTGTCCAAACATTTTATCTGAGGTAAAAGATTAACACTGGGCCACTTGGATCCTGTTATGTTTTTACTTTAGCTTTACTCATAGCGTTCATGCTAGCCTCATACAGTGCTCTATTGCAGTCAGTCACACATATGATGACAATTTTACTACTTAAATAAATTTTAATCACCATTGTCGATAAACTTTACAGAAGCGGTGGCTCGAGTGAAAAAAACCCCACACATACATGGACAGAAGTCTGTCGAAGACCTCGAGCCTCCAGCCAACCTTTCAATTGAACTTTCCTGAAGTCCGAACTTGCTCCAGGAACGTCATTTCCTGCTACAATATTACCTCTGAATCTCTGTATGATCCATGCCCATTGTCCAATCATTTGAGATTGCCACAGATAATGAATGTACTATAAATGACGTGCCTTATGTCATGAGTCGAGATCACCATTGAGGACTTGTTTAATGGAAGTTTTCATGTCATTTTTAAAATCTGTAAACTAGTGATGTGGGACTTTAAGTCCTTTCTACCCCACCTCCAAACATGATGTATTAGAGCTAAACTATTGAATTATTTGAATTCACTGCAGCAATGTAAGAACTACCTAATTCAGGAGTTGATGCCTGAAAAAAAATACCTGTGGTATTTTTTTAAATTATTTAACCAACATTAGTGAAAAAGGTTCAACCATGACTGATTTATGATGGTCTTTGGCTCCAAAAAGACATGGCATCAATCCCAAAAGGTGACATTTTGACAATGGAAGTTAATGGAGTCACTTCATCCATTATTCGTAATATCAGCAAAGTAAACTTACAAAATCAGCAGGAATTCATTTAATTTTCTCGTCTCACTTTATCACCTATACAGCGGGTAAAATAAGTATTGAACACGTCAACATTTTTCTCAGTAAATATGTTACTAGAGGTGCTAATGACGTGAAATTTTCACCAGATGTCGGTAACAACCCAAGTGATCCATACA